GCAGTCAAGAAATCAAGTGACGTATCTATTATTGCACTAGGCAAATCTGCTGCAAAAGTCCTCTTTAAGGTGTTAAACAGCAAAGATGTCACTTTGAAGACTAAGTTGTTCCTGACTCAAGCCATGGTATTTCCAATCACCTCATGACATGTGAGAGTTGGAGAATGAATAAGGAAGACCGAAGAATTGATATCTTTTAATTATGGTGTTGGTGAAGAACACTGAATATACCATGCAGTGCCAGAAGAACAAACAAATATGTCTTGGAAAAAGTACAGCCACAATGATCCTTAGAAGAGAGGACAGCGAGACTTCATCTTATGTACTCTGGACATGTTATCAGGTGGGAGGAGTCCCTGGAGAAGGACATCATGCTTGGTAAAGTAGTGGGTCAGCTAAAAAGAGGAAGACCCTTAATGAAATGGACTGACACAGTGGCTGCAACAATGGGCTCAAACATAGCAATGATTGTAAAGTTGGTGCAGGAACAGGCAGTGTTTTGTTCTGTTGTACACAGGGTCGCTATGAGTCGGAACTGATTCCATGGTACCTGACAACACACATCCCAGGATTAGAGTGAGGATGAAATGACATACAGGCATGTATTGCTTAACGTCCACAGTATGTTCTGTTAAATGGGATGATATGCAATTTGGACATTGTGTGAACACTATATCATATACAGGAGAGAGGCGTGCAGGACGGTCACCAGGTGGCCTGGGACCCACGCCGCAGCTGCACCATGGGACTCTGAAAACTCTGGCTCTGCCAGAGGTCACTGCCTGGTTTCTAGGCCTGTCTGCCTTGGGCTCCCTTCTTTTCTGTGTGTCTGCCTTCCCTGCCCCACCTAATGCAGTTAAACTTCTCCAGCCCTGGCTGCCCCTCCTCCGCCTCCTCTCCTGGCCACCTTTCCTGCCACAGTCACAACCTGACTGCCTGGCAGCTGCCACTGTGGGAGGAGGGGCAGTGGGGCAGCAGCCTCAGCAGGGCATCCCCCTAGGCTGCTCCTGCAGAGTCTGTGCAGTCCCTGCCTGAGGTGAGCTCAGTGAGACAGGCCGCCAGGGATGGGTGCTGAGACTCTCTCCCCCTGTGGCCTTGAGGCCTGGACAGAGAGCTAGTGAGAGACAGATTGGATCTCTGTACTTAGCATAGTATGACCACTACATCCAGTTCTCCGATCAGGATTTCTGAACTCTATTATAATCTTATGGGAATAAGGATGTGTATGCAGTTGGATGCTGCCCAAACGGAGTGTCATGGATTGAACTGTGTCCCCCAAAATATCTGTCAACTTGGCTGGGTCTTGATTCCCAGTATTGTATAATTGTGTACCATTTTGTAATCTGATGTGATTTCCTTATGTGTTAAAAATTCAATCACTATGATCTAATAAAATGGATTAGTGACAGTTATACTGATGAGGTATACAAGATTGGACAGTGTCTTAAGCCAATCTCTTCTGAGATATAAAAGAGAGAAGCGAGCAGAAACACGTGGGAACCTCATGCGACCAAGAAAGCAGTACCGCAAGCAGAGTGCATCCTCTGGACCTGAGGTTCCTGTGCTGAGATGCTCCCAGACCAAGGGAAGACGGATGCATCACAAGGACCTTCCTCCAGAGCCGAGAGAGAGAAAGACTTCTCCTTGAGCTGATGCCTTGAATCTGGACTTGTAGCCTACTGGACTATGAGCGAATAAACTTCTCTTTGTTAAAGCCATCCACTTGTGGTATTTCTGTTACAGCAGCACTAGATGACTAAGACACAGAGGTTAAGCAATGCACACCTGTACTATATGTTAAGGTCTAGGAACATGGTAAGACGTCAATAAATGGTAGTTCCCTTTCCTCTGCCACTTCAAAACCCAGTTCAAACAAGACTTTGTCTATAAAGACTCTGACGATCCTTTGCAGGCAGAGTAGCACAATTTATCTTTTACATCAGTCTCTCCATTAGATATTGAATTCTCTGGTATTAGAAGCCATGTATTATTCTGTGCCTCTAGTGACACAGTGTTTAGTACAGACACTCAGCGCTCAATAACTATTGAACACTTGGATAAAATGAATGAATGGACAAACATCTGTCTATGAGACATCTTCTCCTTCCTCCAACATCTCACATTCAAGATACCAACAACCACTCATCAACTTTTGTTGAACATATGATCTTCTTTTCTTTTCCACTCCAGTGAATGGTTCTAGTTATCCCAGTTTCTCAGGGAAGAATGCTTAGTGTCCTCTGTTTCCTCCTCCATCTAATTTACTTCCCACCATCTGCCATCATCTTCTCTCTTCTCTGCCCATTGTCATCATCCCTGTTAAGGCTTTATTACCTTTTACAGGGACAATAAAAGCCTTTACAGTAGTTTTCCTAACTTCATTCTACCCCTGACTCAGTCCTACACAAGAAGGCTAAACTGATCTTAAGCTCTGGATTATGATTTTTATCGTCACTTCTTCACCCTCAAAAAAATCGTAAGATCCTTGAGGAGACAATGACATTTTCTTAGTCATTTTTGTAATCTCTATAGCCTAACAGAATGCTTGCAAGACATCTCAAATGAAGTAACACCTATAAAAGCTTTTTATGAACTTTAAGAAACAAAAGAAATAAGGTGTCCTGGTGTGTTGCTAAATATTGCTACCACATATTAGCACTTACTACATGCCAGATCTAAGTACTTCATAAAATTTTCTCATTTACTCTTCATAAAGTTCTTAAAAGGCAGGTTTTATCATTTCCATTTTACAGATGAAGAAACAACTGAGAAGTTAAGAAACTTGCCCAAGGGTATACTGTAAAGGGGTAAAATGGAATCTGTCTACTCCAAAGCCCTGCTCTTAACCTCCATGCTACACTCTTTTCCTTTCCCCTTCTACATCAGAGGAATAAGTGTCTTAAATTCTTCTGAAAGATAACTCCACTTGTCATTCAGTTTTATTCCCATTTATTTCTTCTTGGCCCATGACCTTTTAATTACCTTTTCTCTTTCCAGTATCTTTCAAGTTGTCCCCCAGAAATGCCTTTCCCTCCTCCTTTCACTTAATTTTACCGAAACCTATATACTATTTCCAGTTTCCCTTTTACTGTCAATCTCAAAGGTGCCACTACCTCCGCTTCCACCCACTTAATTCCATAATCCCCTGTAATCTTGTTTCAGCCCTACTTTACTCTCCTAATACCCCAACTCAGGTCACCAAAAACTTTACAATTGTTAATGTCAAAAGCCCTTTCTAATTTATTTTCCTCAACTTATCAACAGCAACTGACAAGTGCTGACAACACTCCTTGCTGTTTTAAATTAACCCTCCTCAATTTCTGTGATAGCATATTATTTTTTTCTATGCCTGAATTACAACCGCTCACTCCGATTTACTAGGTTGTCATTTTCTGTCTCGAAACAAGTATTTTTCCCAAATTTTCATTCACTATCCCTTAAACATAACTAGTCCCTTCTGGTTTCAGAACTTTTATTTGACTACCTATGATCTGCAACACCCTCCAGATTCTTTTCTGCCTATCTAAATCTGTGCCACCCTCCAAAGCCCAGTTCAAATTTTAATTTTTCTGTAAAACTTTCCCTGATGATCACAGTCTGAAACGATCTTACGCCTCTGAACTGTACAAATAAGTAATATTAATTTAGTTATTCCAAATCTGTTTGTGATTAAATCTGAGTCTTTAACTTTAGGATTTGTTATTGTTTCATAATAATCACCTGACAATCTATACTGTTACATCTTGTCATCTCAATTAGACTATCAGCTCATGGAGGGTCACAACTGAGAATTACCCTTCTCTGTATTGCTCATAAGCACCAAACACAGTGGAAAGTTCTCTGGTTTTTCTCCCAGTGACACAGTAAATTCTAATTATTTGTTCCTTACGGTGCCTGGAATTCAAACAATTCTTATGTGCTAATGTGAGGGTGGTAGGGATACAAAAAAGAAAAAGATATGAAACCTATCCCATCCTTAAGGAGGTTACAATCAAATGAAGAAACAAACAGATGCAATAAACTGTTGTAGTTATTGTGATAAGAGACACAGAGTGCTGTGCAATCATAGAGATATAAGGATTAATTCGATCTTTAGATGTATGGACTATAAAACTTCAAAGAGTGACATGAGCTTGAAGGTGACATGAGTTTGAGATGAATAATTCCCCAAATAAGAAAAAGAAGGGGCAGTAAGATGTAAAAGATAGTATGGAGTCAGAATCATTGCTAAGGAGTTCGGATATCGTATTATAAGATTTGGGGTTGGCAAATTACAACCCACAGGCTAAATAGGCTTTAGTCCTGTTTTTGTACAGCCCATGTGCTAAGAACAGATTTTACATTTTTAAAGGGTTGTTAAATTTAAAAAAAGGAAGAAAGAAAAAGAATATACAACAAAGACTGTGTGTGGCCAGTAAAGTCTAAAATATTTATTATCTGACCCTTAAAAACAAAAACAAAAGAAAAATAACTGACATCTGCTATAAATTGTTTGGAGCCACTGAAGGGACTTAGGAAGCGATATCCATAGTATGGCAGGTGGAAGTCATTCAAAGTTAATGTGGAAGATGAATATAGAGAGGAGGAAATAGAAGGGTACACTGCAATAACAAACACGAGATAACATGGGCCTAAACTAGAACAGCAGAGAGGGAATAACTGACAGGACTTTGTAACTGCTTGGCTGAGGGGAACCAGTACGAAAAAAAAGTCAAGGTATTCAGCTGAGGAATCAGATCAATGCTGATGTTATTCATGGAAATAGCAAATCCGTAGGAGCAGGTTTATGAGATGAAAGTAATGAGTCTGAGAGACTTGCTAAAAATCCAGTTGGTAGCAATAGAGAATGTAGAGACAGTGAAGTATATACATGTAGCAGATACCAAATGAGTATCTAGTGAATGACTCAACAGGAAAAAAGAAATTTACTACATTTTTTTCCCCCCTGATTTACTGAAACTCCTGTTTTACAAAGTTCTTATACTGATTCCAAATCATACCTTGGAAGGTGGTGGTGCAGGCTTAGGAACTAGGTTCTTATAAACACTTGGGACCATGGTTGATGATTTGTTCCCATTTGCATGGTGAGATCCTGGTGAAGTGAATGCAGCAGAGAAGGCAGCAGCAGGATCCTCTTTGGAAACTTTTTTGATAACCAGCATCTTGGAGGGTTGCTTGGCACTAGGTGGGTTTTCTGTGAAATAGAGTAGTGGAGAGACAAAACAATAGCAAGCCTGTTGGGTAACACAAAGCACAGTTCTATATGAAGGCCTCCCCTTCAATGAAAAGTTGACAGTCAAGACTGAGGGGCAAATATTTCCTGGTGAGTACTTAACCAATGCTCTCAAAAGTGACACTACTTGAGAACCGTAGGGAAGAAGCAGCATATGAAGTACTTCATACTGAACCCAAAAATCAGCCAGAAAACTCGAAGATGTTAGCAGTCCTTCAGGGGCACAGCATGTCTAATGTATGGTGTGATCAGTTAGGCATGGACCAAACAAGAAAATATCTGAGAGTAGCAGCTTGTATCAGCATGGGAATGGACAGAGATGAAGAAATTGGGGAAAGGAGCTTGACACAGGACCCTATGATGAGGCAAGCTGGAGCACAGCTATATACCATTAACAAGGGTAGAAAGTACAGTAAATCTAGTATTTAGATATATGATGCTAAAGCCTTCCCAACAAGATGCTGGGGCTACTGAACATGCCTGATGTAGGGACCAGAAGAGTCCAATTTCTAAATGCCAAAAATTCCAATGACACAGATTAGGTTTGGTTGACACAGACTGACAAATCTGTTAATGTTTTATAAGGACAGTTTTCCCAACATACCCATATAAACATGTACATATGTATATATGTTTTCCTTTTGCCCTATATAACAAACATCATTGGTAACTGTCAAAAAACATCCAACAATTGGAATCTGGTTGGAAAAAAGGGTACATTCACAGGATATGGTATTATATAACCATTAAAAGCACATGTTTGAAGAATAGTTAATAAAATGAAGGAATGATCAGGAAATATCACTATATAGTCCCACCATATATTTAGGAAATAAAAGTAACACATAAAATGCAATTTAATTGTTATAAGCTAATTAGCAATGTTAATTAAAAATTACTTTTTGTATCTATATATTATTCTCCTTTCACTTAAAATCTGCTTCCAAATTCAGGGATCTACAAGCTCTCAATAGCTCTACTACACTGATTCCTTTTCACCGGTACTTCAGGTAACCTGCAATACTTATAGCCACTTAGATTAGTGAAGAGCTAACAGGTGTTAAGTTACCTCAAGGAATAATGATATGAGAAAGAAACAAGAGATAAAGAAACAAAAAGATGAAGAATTTTTGCTCCTCTCCTTCGTGAGAAAAAATTTAAATTTGTGCCTTTAAAATGGCAAAATCTACCTACCCCACACTCCAGAAGGTGTCCCAACAGGTCTGCATGGCTGATTCTGTTTGCCAGCTTCCGGATTCAAAGAAGGCTAGGAAAAAAGGGATATTAATGGTTGATACAGAAAGCCACTCATTTTGGCTTTTTTTTTCTTTTTCAAAGCAACCATCACCAAAGGTATTAGCAGCATTTACTAATTTAAAGCTGTATTCAGAACTGCAACAAATAGGTAGAAGATGTTGAAATGCAAAATCAATAGGTCTTCTATTAATCTTAGGATCTCTTGGGTTCCATTTGTTTTAATAATGTAAGAGAGATTTTCTTTTTTATTAATAAACAGATACATACAGGATACATACACCAAATAAAGAGGCACAGAAAGTTGAATAACTAGGAGCAATTTTTTCAGATGTAAGGACAACAATCTGGTGAGGGGTGGTATTGACTGCCATTTCCAAGACTGCTTTAGAGCAGAGGCAGATCATGTGCCATATAAAGACAATTAAGAATAGTGCCTTCTTGTCCTTACTAGGGTCACAGCTGTAATAGAGAGATAAACTTGTGGATAAGTGTTATGGGTCCTATGATAAAAATTCACATTAGAGAAGAAGGAAGAGTACTAAGGAAGGAATGGCTGATTTCACTTGAAAGAGAAGTAGTATAAGGAAAGATTCATTAGGGGTGATGACTGAGAAGAGTCCTTAAAGATGAACTCCAAAACTGGAGAATGTGTGATTCCAGGAAGAGAAATCTCAACAAACATCAAGACAGGAAGAACAGAATATTCAGAGATCTACAAATAGTTCAGCTTGATTAATGCCAGAGAAGGACTATTCTGTGGAGAAAGAGAAGTCTGGGAAACTAGGCAAGGGCTAGATTGTGGAGTATCTTTTAGGCAGTCTGATTTTATCTTGCAGAAGTTCTAAAGATGGGGACCCATCTTTTTTTAATTGTGCTTTAAGTGAAGGTTTACAGTTCAAGTTAGTCTCTCATACAAAAATTTACACACACATTATTATGTGATCCTAGTTGCTCTCCCTATACTGTGACAGCACACTCCTCCTTCCACCCGATTTCCCGTGTCCATTCAACCAGTTCCTGTCCCTTTCTGCCTTCTCATCTCGCCTCCAGACAGGAGCTGCCCATTTAGTCTCATGTATCTACTTCAGCTAAGAACCCACTCTTCACGAGGATAATTTTATATTCCATAGTCCAGTCTAATCTCTGTCTGAAGAGTTGGACTCGAGAATGGTTTTGGTTTGGGGCTATCAGAGAGTTCGGGGGCCATGTCTTCCGGGGTCCCTTCAGTCTCAGTCAAACCATTAAGTCTGATCTCTTTACTAGAATTTGAGTTCTGCACCCCACTTTTCTCCTGCTCCATCCAGGACTCTCTGTTGTGTTTCCTATCAGGGCAGTCATTGGTGGTAGCTGGGCACCATCTAGTTCTTCTGGTCTTAGGCTGATGGGGGGGATCCATCTTTTATGTAGAGAGTTAAAATGATCCAGTCATCCTTTTAAAACGACCACTCTGGCAGCAGCTTGAAGAATGGATTTAAGGGGTTTAAATATCAACTGAGAGATGAGGAGATCAATTCCATAGTCCAAGAGAGTAATGGAGGCAACAGGAATAGAGAAAGACACAAAGGAAAAGATGGAGAAGTGTTAACACCAATAGACTGGGCTTAATAACCAACTGTATGCAGGGTGTAAGGATGGCACTGGTATCCAAGCCTAAACTTCACAACCTGGTAATAGAGTAGGAAAATGGCTATTCAGCACAACTGCCCATAGAACATTCAAACACAAAAACACGGAACACTCAAGAGTCTACTTCAGAGCTTCTGAATCAGAATTTCGAGGGGTTGGGGCCCCAGCAGATACACAGTTTTCAACCAGTCAAGGTTGAGAACCACTAGCATAAGAGAATAAGCACAGACACAAACTACCAACTCACTAAAGAAGGACAAACCAGTGCTAGAATACAACGAACAGAACAGATAAATGCACTTCTCTGGATGGAACAGTATAGGTAGAAGAAATCCCCATGGATAAAAGTTATGGTTGGTTTCTTGTTTTATTTTAATAGGCCTGTACTCTTAATCACATTCCATCTAGGTTTCTCAGAGATACTGCTCCTATTGATGTGATTATGTTCGATCTCCTTCCAGTGATTTTTAAAAACTTTCTAGAACTGTAAAATGTAACAGAAAACTGTATAAAACAGATGAACAGCTTAATGAATTTTAAGGCAAACATTCTTGTAACCACCACTCAGTTTTAAGAGAACATTACTGGCCAACCTAAAAACACACTACAAGTCTCATTCTAATACAAAAAATCCTTCTCCTCTGAAAATAACCACTATCCTAATTAATGCTGACAATTTCTTTTATCATCCAAGTCTCTCTCTTAACACTACAGTTTTGTCTTTTAATCTACAGGTTGTTTTTTAAAATCTTTATCTATAGTTTCCCACAATCTAGATTTTGCTGTTTGCATCTCCAAAATGTAACCTCTTTCTCTGACCTCTGTATTTACTGTAATTTTGGTAGCTGGTTCTAGAGGCTATAGGATTCTTTCTGGCAAGGCAGCTTCTTGGTGGTGGTGGTCTCTTCCATTAGGAGACACATAATGTCTGGTTGTCTTCTGTGATTTTGGCAGTACTGATGCTCAAAGCCTAAAACTATTAACTCATTACAAGGTGTAAAACAATGATCTTCTAACTTTATCATTCCTTCTTTATTAGCTATTATATTTTATTATTTATCACCTACGATACATAAAAAGCAGCATCCCCTCATTTATTATTTGGTAGATACAGTGATACAGTTCATGCAGAAAAGATACATGCTTGTTTCTTTCACCTTATTTACTAGTTTTCAAAACAATGATTGTTTCCTTATCATGAGAAATTTTTGTTGCATAGTGGTTAAGCAATCGACTGCTAACTAAAAGGTCGGCAGTTCGAACCCACAAGCTGCTCCTCGGGGGAGAGATGTGGCAGTCTGCTTCAGCAAAGATTACAGCCCTGAAACCCTATGGGACAGTTCTACTCTGTCCTACAGGGTCAGTATGAGTCGGAATTGACTCAACAGCCATGGGTTTTTGGTCTCCCTATCATACTCCAAAGGAAACCCTGGTGGTGTAGTGGTTAAGAGCTATGGCTGCTAAACAAAAGGTCGGCAGTTCGAATCCACCAGGCACGCCTCAGAAACTCTATGGGGCAGTTCTACTCTGTTCTACAGGGTCACTACAAGTCAGAATCAACTCAACAGCAACAGGTTTGGTTTGGTTTTTTATCATACTCCAAAGGTTGGTATCATTGTGAACTCAAAGATTTAACAGTTGATGTGATTCAATCTCTTGCAGTTACCCTTACTGATGCACAAACTGTCCCATTTTTGGCCAGTGGGAACCTCTTCAATTTGGCTTCTGAATCATTTTGATACAACCCTAGTAGTCTTTACTTTTTGCTATCTAGTATGACAAAATATCCCAGGCTCATAACGTAAATATCCTGTCCAGAAATGGAACCAGCCATTTCTCTAAGCCCTGATTTCTTTTAAAACAAACAGCATTTCAAGACCACAGTCTGGGTACTAGAAAATCTCACTGCTACTGGGTTGTCACTGTAGATCTTTTCAGTGGAAAAAGCCTGAAAATAAATAAACAAATGTGTGTGCGTGCATGTGTACACACACACATTTTCGAAGAAAATACCTCAGGATTTACTGATACTGCTAAGTCCAATCAATTACTTCTCTCTCACATCTGTATTTCCTTTCTCCTACACAAAGAATCCTGATTCTTTCGAGCACAAAAGATGCTAGAATATCGTATTAAATCACTTCATTCCATATTACATACAATAGTGAGTATGCCTATACTAATGCTGCACTGATATGATTACGGAAAAGTTAAATTTTTTGCACATGCAGATTCTCCCACTTGAAAACGCATGGAGAGGATATGGAAAAAATTGCTGAGTTATATGAACGTGCGCCAAGAATCTGATCAGGATATCTGATTTTCTTTCCCTTACAAGTCACTTGGTCATTTTGCCTGGATGACCAAAGGATATCTTTCTTTTTCTTTCAATTTCTGTATTTTGCCAGACTATGTCCCAGTGTTGGTCATTCTGGCTGCTCTTTCAGTCTGTAGTTTCAAATCTTATTACGTAGGAAAGTTTTCTTGAATTAACAGTTTTTCGTATTTGAGCTATTCTTTTCCTTTGGTCTTCTTTTTTGGGAGGACTTCTATTACGTATACAGCAGTACCTCAGGTATCCACGGGGGATTGGTTCCAGCACCCACTGTGGATACCAAAATCCGAGGGTGCGCAAGTCCCTTATATAAAATGGCACAGTATTTGCATATAACCTATGCACATTCTCCTCCTGTACACTTTGTCATCTCTAAATTACTTATAACACCTAATACAATGTAAATGCTATGTAAATAGTTGTTATACTGTATTGTTTAGGGAATAATGACAAGAAAGAAAAGTGGTTTTCTTCTCTCTCAAAATATTTTCGATCCGCGGTTGGTAGAACCCGCCAATGCAGAGCCCAAGAATAAGGAGGGCTGACTGTATACTGAATCTTTCTTTTTTTTTTTACCAAACATCTGTCCACATACCACTTTTCCTCAACTCTTTAACTTTTTAAATGTTTCTTCATCTTTTTTTCTTTTCATCTTCTAATACTCATAAAACATTAGTGTGTTTCTTCTTTAGTCTTCATCTGAAATCTTTCATTGCTTCCAATTTTTGCCTGAGTTTTAGCACCTTATTTCTGAATTTTTCTTATTCTATGTTATTCCTTCAAGTCGTACACCATTTTCTTAATGTGATTTAGTGAAGTTTTAAAATGGTAGGTAATAGTTTTTTTGTGGGCATGTTTTACTGGTGTGCTTCGTGTCTGTAATAATGTTAGTCTACTCCTTTTTTTAAATAGTAAGGTAGAAATTAATTTGACCTTGATTCTTTTATGTTGCTCATGTATACGTAATTTTTTGTAAATGTGGGGCAATGTAACTTTTCTCATCATGCTTGAGAGCTCCCTCTTCTGTTGTTTCCATGGAGTGTCAAAAA